ATCCGCAACTTGATGCATGCAATTGGGGTTCAATTGCCCGTAATTTCTATCAATTGGAGGTTGACCCATTAGTGTGAGACCCTCAATTGAGTGTATTTGAGAAGAATTAGGAGCAAGAACATCAGTAGAAGCTTCAATTGGAATATTGACCGTTTCTTCAATTGGGGATAAATTGGCAAGATCAATAGAAGGTGTTGGAGTGTTAATTGCAGCAATTGATCGATTACCCATGCTCTTAGCATTGTGAAGCAGGTTGTTGTTGGTCGAATTGAGCAATTGAAGCAGAATAGATTCGTCAAAATTGTTCAAACCGTAGCTTTCGCACCATTTCTTCGCTTCAGCCACAAATTGAGCACGGTCCAGGTGCAATTGACCAAGACCCATGGCTGGGCTAGGTGCGCCAGGTGATGGTGCACCCAGCCCAGGTGGTCCGCCACCATGGGTCATCACGACGGAGCTGGGAGGAGCCTTTTTCTGGTGCGTTTTCGCGACAGGCGAGACAGGGCAGATTTCATTGTCAAATTGAGCAGGTTCTGGGTTGATTCGACCTTGACCCATTACTGGGCAAGGTACTCCAGGCAAGGCCGACCCCAGCCCAGGTGGTCCGCCACCTGGGTTCGTTCGGAAGGTGGAGGAATCAGGCGAATTCGCAGCCTCTTTCGCGACTGTCGCGACTTCGCGACTTGGTTCTTCAAATTCGATCTGATTCGTAGCAGTTTTTGATGAATTGGCTTCATGGATATAGTCGACTGGATGTGGGCAATCTTCAGGTAGTGGTCCGCCGGCGTGGGTGTCGCCGGAGGTGTTGTTTCCGGCCGAAGTGCACTCTAGAGGCTGTTTTTGAAAAAAGCTCATAACTTCTTCATTTTTTGACGAAATTGCAAGCCGTTTGTTGGTAATGGAAGCTAATTTCAAGGGCTTTCTAATGGTACCAAAATCAGGGGGTTTCCTAGGACGAATTTTTTCGTGATTTTGGTGCATTTTTTGTGAATTTTAGAGAGAAGGGAGAGCATTTGGGGTTAGAGAGAGAAAGTGGAAGGGTGAGAATGGTTTAGGGTTTAGGGCTTAGGG